TTTCCCCTTTAGGAGGGATATAGGTTTTCATTTCTCTTTCATAACGGGCCTTGTCCACCTTTGCCATATCTTCAAACTTTCCTTTCTCTTTAGCAGACATGGTCTTCCACCTCTCTGAGCACTTCTTAGAAAACTCTGAGAAGTTGACTGAAGCATCTGGGTGCTTCTTCTTGTGCTCCTCCCGGCAAGTTTGCACAAAGAATGCATATGATGACATTTTGCCCCTCGGCTTCTTAGGATCTCCTTTGCCCATGTTTAGTTATCTTTCCTCCACGAGGCACAGAGTCGCCCAGTGCCCGTCCGGCTCTCACTTGCCCCGGCGTTGTCTCTATGGAGCTCAATGTACTCCCGTTGGCTGCATTTCTGACATATTAATGCACTAACTTGCTCTCCTGTGATTTGAAAATGTTCACGCGGTCATAGCCTGGAAGTGACTCAGGCTCAGGGACAGCTAGGCTGAAAAGCAGAATAATGGGGTATGGCAGGAGCAAGAATGATTCAATGAGTTCTTCTTTCCATTTTTCAGACTGTGCCAAATCTGATATTTAGTAAGACTAGAAACCAAGATCAGCACATCCTAAATAGATCTTGTGACTTCATCATGTGTCCATTACATGATGTCAACGCATTGGCTTCCGGGACATGTCTGCACTATAATACCGTGGCTGTCATTAGCAGCATTAGGAAATAATCAGAATACAAACCCACTTCTGTCATTCAGAGCACATTTTATTAACACAGAAAGACCACGATTCCCTTGATTAATCTCACAGGGGGAGTTTAGACCCTGGTAAGCACCACCCAGGTAATACACTATGAACTTGATGACAAGGAAAAAGCAAAACATATCATTACCAAAATGCCTCACTTATAATAAATTCTTAACCCCCCCAAAAAATGTATTAAAGTCTTCACTATACAAATCTAAAAATATGTTAGAACATTTAACATTAAGATTCAGTTTATTTTTTTAATAAGCTTTAAGGTGTATCTCTCCTTTCGATTCTCCAGTTATGTGAAGCCCCCTTCACTGTTGTTCTCTCAGATGTCTAACCTGTTCCCTGTCCTCGAGCAGTTCTGAACAGATGCCCAAAGCAGTGACTATGATGCCTGCTCTGCGGCCTTCTTGTGCTGGCTCCTGGGGTGGCCCTCGCTGCTGGGGGACACTTCCTTTTGTAGGTTCACCATGCTGGTCTTTCCAGCTGTTTCAATCCAGGGATGCTGAAGAACCTGGTGGGCCGTGTAACGCTTTTTGGGGTCTACCACCAGCAATCGGCTCACGAGATCTTTGGCAGCTATCAGAGAGACGGAAGGAAAAATTAGATGAATGCAGGAGATTCTGAATTTTTCTTCCCCATACATAAAAATACACACACCCAGGGCCAGCAGGTGATGTGGTAATTAAGGGCACTGGACTCCCACATGGCCGACCATAGTTTGAGTCCCGGACCTGGTGGCTTGCTTTCTCACTTTCTCTCTCTCTCTCTCTGGTCAAATTTTAAAATAAATAAATATATTTAAAATAAAATAATTCTAAAAATAAAATACACACACCCATGTTAGTACAATGGACTGACTAAAAGGCTGTTACGCTGTCTAACAGAAGCTGGAAACACTCTGTATCTGAACTACCCGCTCATACTGAGCAATCGAAACCTGACTAGTGAGACAAGGAACTGAAGTTTTCTTTTTCTGAAGTTGAATTAATTTACATTTAAATGTAAAGAGCCATATGAGGGGCTGCCATGTTGGATAAAGCAAGACTAGAGGACGCTTGCTAGGCTCACCCCTAACCACCATGGCACCGAGGAACCAATGGAGGCCACATGCTATATGTCCACACACTTTAAGGTGTTAACTCAAACTAACAAATCGTTCAATAAAACATGTTCAACCTTCTTTTATTGATAACTATGCTTCAGTATTGACGAAAGTGGGGGGGGGTGTAAAGAAATCTAAGTAGTAAATAGTGCAAATTCAAAATTAATTCCATTTTCTGCTCAAGACCATGGCTGATTCTAGAGAGAATTAAAGCCGCTGAAGTCAGCAGATGGAGTGGTGGTTCAGGTGCTGGATCCTACATGACTGGCTCCGTGGTTTGAGTCCTGGACCTAGAAACCTAAAAATTATGCTGGGTGCATGTGTTCATGTGCCCAAAATCTCAAGAGGAGAATGGAGAAAAAGGGATTGTGGCATAGCCATCCCCCCTGGGGTGATTTCTCACCTTCCCTCTTACCATCTCTCTCCCTCTCTGTCTCTCTCTGGCAAGCACACGCACCCTATGACAAAACCAGCTCCAGACCCAGCAGTTTAAGAAACCTGCTGGGCACGTGTGCATGTGTGTCTAATATCCCCAAAGGAGGAAGAGATGGAGGAAAAGGATTGTGGGCATGGCTATTCCCCATGGGGACGGGGTGCTTCTCCTCTCCCTCTGTGATGAGAACACACACATTCTAGGGGGGAAAAAAAGGCCTTCTTCTTTCCAAATGAGAATTATGTTTCTGTTACTTTTTTCAGTTCTGAATTTCTCTAACTACCTGATTGAACAGCACTGGGTGACTGCAACTGGTTGTTAGACTTTTTCATTCAATCTCAAAGCGAGTCATGTTTTCGGCGTACTAAGAGCCTACATGGAGCGACTGAGGAAATGGCATGATGTGACACGCTGACAGCCCGCCTCCACCACAGATACCGTGGGGACCCTCTGCATGTCTGGCATGAAAAACCTGCTCTGCAGACAGAACCCAGGAGGCATCCTGGCCTGACAGTCCCTCCCGCCTGTATGGGAAAGCCCTGATTCTCACCATCAGAGATGTTGTCCCAGTAAGGCGCGAGGAACTCGAAGCGGCCCAGCTGGATGATGTTAAAAAGCTCGTCCTGGTCCCTCTCTGGGCTGCGGAAGGGGGGGAAGCCACACAGTAGGATATAGAGGATCACTCCTGCAGCCCACATGTCCACCTCCAGTCCGTAACCTGTGCAAATGGAGGCAGAGACGTGAGCGAGTCTGAGCCCAGGCAGGGTCATATGTGATGGGATAACATGACAGAGAACCGCACGTAGCTCTAAAGAATCCCAAGTCATGGAGGACCTCCGCTCTGTAAGCAAGACCTTCCAAACACCTCCCTCGCTGCCAACTCCTGCAAACAAGAAGTCTACACCAGAGTTACTGGAAGTTTGGTCCACTACCAGTTTGCAGTCCTCTGATAGCAACTTGGCATGGCTATGACATTTAACTGCATAATCAATGGATGCATCTCACTGAACAGGACGCAGATTCATTCAGGTGTCAAACACAGTGAGTCGCTCTGTGGCATAAGCCACGTTCTAGTCGCATGCCACAGAAACCAGGCATGGCCCACACTGTAGGAAATTTTAAAACCTGGGACCGGCAAGTGGTGTGGTGGTTGGGGTGCTAGACTCCCACATGGCTGACCGGTGTTCAAGTCCTGAACCTGGTAGCTCACTTTCTCACTTACTCTCTCTCTGTCTCTCTGGTCAAATTAAAAAATAATAATAATAAATAAAATTAAATAATTATTTTTTAAAAAAAACCTGGCTCTTTACTGGACACAGTTTGAGAAGCCCTTGTCTACACCAACTGTATCTTATTTCCTACCCATTGTCTCCTTTCTCATTTAAACAATATCATTTACTGGCTTTTTAAATTATTATCAAAAGATTGATGTTCACTAGCTGCACCCCCCGACATGTGCGCACACACAAGTATACAAACACAAGGACATGTATACTTTTTTAACAAAATTAGAACCACGCGATACATACTTTCTACCCTGTTTTGTTCACTCACTAATGGATCATTGCATCTCCTATGTAAGAATTTCCTGTACAGAATATAAAAAAGTATTCTTCACAAACAGGATTTCTAACAGCTTACAGGTTGAGCAAACCTAATCCAAAATTACAAAATACAAAACACTGTGCACATCAACACGACCCCATGAGTGAGAAATTCCACACCTGACTTGATGTGACAGGTCGCAGTTAAAATGCTGCAATACACAAGTGTATTCATATAACATGACCTCAGGCTAGGTGTATAGGTGTGTATGAAAATATTTTTAAAAGAAACTCCTAGAAAGGAAATCCACAAGTAATTACATAAAAGGTTTGTGATATATATTACCAACAGTCCTCTTAATAGTTCTAATGACGGGACCAGCAGTTAGCGTAATGGCTATGTCACTGGACTCCCACGTAGTCGACCGTGGTTCATGTCCCGGACCCAGTGGCTTAAAACTCATGCGGGGCATGTGTGCGTGCGTGCCCAAGATCCCAAGAGGAGAATGAAGGAGAAGGGATTGCGGCGTGGCTATCCCTCCTGGGGGGTGATTTCTCGCTTTCTGTCTCTCTGTCTCTCTGTCTGTCTGGCAAGCACACGCGCCCTACAGCAAAAACCTCTCCAAAAAAAAAAAAAAAAAAGTTCTAATGACAATAGTTCTATATATTTTCAAACACTTAACATTTTTCTGACCTTTAGAAAGAAAAAGCTTAGCAGCTTTCATTTTGTTTTGTTTTGTTTTGTTTTGTTTAGATTTTTGCTCTTAGGGTACAGGTGTTCACCAGAGAGAGTGAGCAAGTGAGAAATCACTCCCCAGGGGGATGGCCACACCACAATTCCTTCTCCTTCATTCTCCTTTTGGGATTTTGGGCATGTTGCACCTGCATTCAGGCCCAGGATTTAGGACCACTGGTCTAGGATGCGAACCACAGAGCTGGCCATGTGGGACCCAGCACCTTAACCACCATGCCAAATGCTGACCCTGGCAGCTTTAAATAGGACACTCAACATTCATTATTAATCCCAGGACTAAGTTTGTGAAGCCACAAACCAGCAAGAAAATATTAAGACCCTAAGTCGGTAGTGTTCCTTTCAGCCTATTCATAACGGCCTTTTCTCAGGACTCAACCACTCACTATTTTCTCCAGGCAGGGACCGATTCAGTTGAGCCTCCCCTCCTGAAAGGTGCCCCTCAGATCCGTGGCATTGCACTTTGCTGACCCTCTTCCTGCCTCTGGGACGCCCAGCCTCTGCTGACCCCACCTTCCCTCTCTCACCTCTGAACTCTGACCTCTCCCAGGAATCTGCTGAGGCTGCTCCTCTTGGCATGACTAAGGAGCTCCTTTTCTCACCTGCTCCGTCCATGGCCTCTACAGGAGCGGCCGAGGAGTTGTCAAACTCCATGCCAACTGGACAACGCCATGTGTCCATCCTAACTATCTCTAAAAAAGTCCAATGTGTTCAAGGTTTAAGTCGCCCCATCCTCCCAACTCCCAAAAGCACTCTCCTTCCCACCACCCTATTTTCGTCATTGCTACCACTGGTAAATGCATCATTTCCCCCAAGAGTCTCAGTTGTCTATTTCCTTTCTTTCTTCTCTTACCCATTAGAACGTGGCCCCTCATCCTGCCGTACCACACTCACCACATTACAGTGGCTACCCATGCTGGTCACGCCAAGTCTGAACACCTGTGCTTAGCTTCCCCATTTGGAGAGAAGCTAGCTAGGTTCAACCTACCCAATCAACTGTACTTCTCTCAGACCCATAAGGTTAGTCCTCTCAATGACTCTATCACTTAATCTCATGAAAATTCTGGTCTCGGCTTCTCGGTTGCTTCTGCTGCTAGGAAACTATCCTTCCCTCCTCCCAACCTCATATCCTACAACCCATCCAGAGCTGTCCCACCTTCCCATCTTCCCCACTAGGGTGGGTAAACTTATTTCTCTTGGCGTTCCACAATAATCAAATACCAAACATATGTGGAGTCATGTAATAATTAGTAATTTTTTCTTTTTATGTTTTACAGAATATGCCTCTAAAACAAGTCATTGCATCCTCACACAATATACAAATAGGTAATAAGTATTTTGTGGGGTTTGAAACAGGATCCCTCTTTCCTTTAACTTCAAGGTTGCTAAGGAAATTCTAAACCTAATACGGTAAGAACTGCTTCAGTTTTCTTTCATTAGAGGGAGCCTCGGGGTCAGTGGCAAAAATGACCCGTTTGCTTGTATTTCCCACCCAATTTTCGATCCTCTTTCATCTCACAGTCCTGCCTACACACACACATACCAATCCCTCCTCTCCGGCAAAGGCATTTCTAATGAGGAAAAAGCGATCATGCTTCAGTCAAGGAACTTTGCTTCAAAGATCCCCATTCCAGTGCAAGTCCAAGCCTTAGTCTTGGACTAATGATTCTGAGATTTTTTACTGTTCTATGTTGAAAACTATTTTATATGAAAAATATGACGCTTGCTCCTAAGTGAGCTAGAGTCTCACAGAGCAAGGTGTAACACTTACCTTTCTCTGAAAGAATTTCAGGAGCTACATAAGTCGGAGTCCCACACACAGTAAATATTGGTCTCACCACATGCTTCGCAAGGCCGAAATCAGCCAGTTTCAAGGTGGTAGATTTGTCCTCATTTCGTTGAACCTGTAAAGGAATCAAAATCCCCAAACACAATGGGATGAGAACAAAGAAGGAAGAGTAATGAGATGACAGGCATGCAAGGTCAAAATAAGGAAAGAATAACCCTATATCAGCTTACCGTTCAGCCCAACACCGACAGATCCAACATGATCTCTGCAACAAGTGCTCACACATCAATGAAAGAACCAATGAGATTGATTTCCTGTGCTATCCAAGATGGCGGCACCTCACACTGCCACAAGTGGCTTTTGAATTTTTTTTTAAGTTTATTTATTTTTCCATGAGAAAGAAGAAAGAAGCACCCTCACTGGAGTTTTCACACTGGATCCAACCCCACCCCTAGCCAGCTGGGACCACAGGCACACACACTGTGTGTCCAGCATGAAAAGGAGGCCTCGGGACAGGAACCTGGGGCCTTCCCATGTGGTTTGGCACTGCAGAGCGCTGCATCCCATTGCACCACCATCAGGCCCCTGTTTGCTTTGTTTTGTTTTATGGCCAATTTATTCACAGACCTCTCTTATCCCAGACCACCACTCCACTCTGATAAGTGGTCAGCATGGCTTGTAGCATCTCTCAGTTTGAACCTCTATTTTTCTATACTGTACTGGTTTTTTGTGTTTTTTTTCCTCTCTCTCTTTACAGACAGAAATTCCATATGACCCATAATCCTATTCCTTGGTGTTTATCGAAGGATAAGAAAACCATCAGAAGGACATTTGCACATCCATGTTTATTGCAGCACTACTCACAATTGCTCAAACATGGAACCAACCTAGGTGTCCAAACACTGATAACTGGGTTGAAAAACGGTGGCACATATATGCTATGGGCTATAGCACAGTTATAAGAAACAATGAGATCCTATTGTTTGACTCAAAATGGATGAAAAGAGAAGACTGAATGTTGAGTGGAAGTGAGCCAGACTTTGAAAGATACACATTGTATGTCCCCACTCAGTCTGTACTGAGCATCGGCCTCTGTGGCAGAGGTTGAAAGATCTGAAGATGTGATGGTGGAGAAGATGGGTGTGGATGCCAGAGTGTAAGGGGGGAGAGTGGATAGTAGAGAGCGGGTGGTAAAGGGTTAGGTGTGAGGTGCAACAGGAGGCAACACTTGACATTTAAAGAGAGAGAGAAGCAAATACAGTGGCTGTTGAAATTTATTAATGAAAATTCAACTAAAATTCGGTTTCTTGGGTGCACTAGGCACATTTCAAGTGCTCATTAGCCACCTGTGACTGGTGGCTACCATGATGGTTGTGCGGATAGAGAACATTTCCATAGCTGCAGAAAGTTCTGCTGGACAGCAGAGTTAGAGCAAGGACCAGTGATGCTTTAAGCACAGGCTAGATTTTCTGAGAAACGTCTGCAGGTAATACAAGACTAGGCAGAGGAGGGGAAAGAAAGAAAAAGGAACTGAAAATTAGAATGAAGAAGCAGACAGGTAAGTAGGAGAGGCATGTTAAATGCAAGCCCTCATTGGGGAAGATGGAGGATTAAACATCAAACAGCAGAAATCTTTGAATAATTCTAACTCCCAGACTTACAGCTAGACAGTCGTAGACAAATTTCTTTACTCATTTGAGTCTCCATTTCATCATTTCTTAAAAAAAAAAAAAAAGGAAAGAAAGAGAAAGAAAAAGAGAGAAAGGAAGAGAGAGAAAGAAAAAGAAGAAGAGAGGAAGGAAGGAAGGAAGGAAGGAAGGAAGGAAGGAAGGAAGGAAGGAAGGAAGGAAGGAAGGAAGGAAAAACAAAATGGGAGGAATGATCATTTTCAGTAAATGGATTTATTTCAAAAGTTCTATTCCATTTCTCTAATCTGCCCAGCAAAATTAACCTGAGGGTGACTAACAATTCCAGTTTGCCTTGTACTTTCACTGGGTTTTAGAGAAGAGTTGAATTAGTCGTTTTTTTACATAGAAAAAAAGACATAGCTACCCTCACTCTGAATGAATACAGAGACTCAACCCCTCCTTCCTCATCCCCATCAAAACTTATCCCACCTGAGTCTCATTCCTTCACATAAATCCATGTGACTGGCTTTCTCATTTCTGGGAAACCAGCTCCTGCTGCCAAGTTACCATGTGCTGAGCTCTGTCACCTTCAAAATAGTTTTGTATAAGATGATGATTATTAGGAGACGTTGGGTCTTAATCTAAAAGAAATGAATCTCGAGAGGTAAGCATAGCAAGTATGCAGGTTGCTATGCAAGCAATAATAAAACTAAAGTTATGCTGGATTTTATAGGAAGGAAGGAGGGAGAGAGAGGAAGAACAACCGAACAAATAGTAAGAGGGTAAACCCAGCATATCTTGCAGCTAGTAAGAGAGACACTGGGACCCTCATGCTATGGAAGCATTTTCCACTTTGGGGAAAGGTTAAATAATCCAGCACAAATCAAAATTCCACCCTGCCTTCAATACTAGTTGATACACAAATAAGGTCAAAGAGTGACTATACTATATCCCATCATAGACGCTGATGGCTCAAATCGAAGTTCAACTGAGAAGTTCATTAGGCCCTCATGTGAAAACCTACGGGGATAAACCTGACGTTATCAAGTAACAGACTCATTGATGCTCTGAAGCTACAGAACTGCCAACTTGTCTGCAGGCACACACCCTCACAACCCTATTGAGACAGGGGCAAAAATTCCCAATGCTCCTGCCAGCCCTTGGGGGCAGGAGGGTAACAGAGGAACTCTGGCTCTCCCTGTGCCCCATCAGAGCCATGGACAATGCCCAGAATTGCAGGATAGAACAGCCATCCTTCACCCCCCCCAGACCAGAATAAGTTTTCTACATTTGCTTTGGTTTCTGCCAATAGCTTGCATCTCTCTAGAGAGCATGCATCTTAATTACTGAGCCACTAAATAGTTTAATCAATGTCTCCATAATTAATCTTGCCAAATGGAAAGGCATAGATTTAGATGTAAAATGTGATTCTGCTTAGTCTGCATGTACAGACAGACATAACCCAAAAGGGACATTAGGGGTAATTAACAGAATAATTTGGGCCAAAAAAAATCTAGGTTTGAAGGGAAGGAAAGCAAAATAGGATGGTACCTAAAATTACCAGATGGTTCCTCCACATTAATCACATTTGCTGGGCAATTGTTGGAAAAATATGTCCCTCTTAAATGTTTGTCAATTTCCCAACCAAGTGATCAACACTAAAGTCATCTGGCTGATTTATTACAACAAAATAAGATGTGTATCCCTACTGCAGAATAACTGACACATTCCCTTCCTCACAGAAATCCCTCGTTCCAAAACCAGGCTCCACTGAGATACCGGCACATTAAACATTTTGGAAATTCAGGCTTTTACTTTGGAAATGTATCATGCTAAATGTCTAGATACTGAGGAGTACATTTTCAAAATGCCAAATCTGTTTTCTTTCTTTCTTTCTTTCTTTTTTTTCTTTTTTTTTTTTTTTTGAGGGGTTTTTGCTTTATTTTTTTTGAGAGGTTTTTGCTATAGGGCGTGTGCGCTTTCCAGAAAGATAGAGACAGAGAGACAGAAAGCGAGAAATCACCCCCCAGGGGGGATGGCCACACTGCAATCCCTTCTCCTCCATTCTCCTCTCGGGATCTTGGGCATGCACACACAAACGTGCCTGGTGTGAGTTTAAACCACTGGGTCTGGGACTCGAACTGCGGTTGACTACATGGGAGTCCAACGACATAGCCATTACACCATTGCTGATCCCACCAAATCTGTTTTCTAAATTATTTGCTAGATCTTTCTAAAATATATTGGGCTTCCGGTTGTCTCTCCATATTTGCTTTTCTCTGTGAGTCTCAAAGCATCACCAGTCACATAAGCAGAACTCGGGGTGACAGCCATCGGTGGTTATTCGCCACTTCCAGAAAGTGGCTCCAAACTTCTTGGTACGTCTCATTCTTCTGCCTCCAGCATCTACTATCTGGAGTTATTAATACTTAATGTTCTTCACTACTGTCACTCACTTCACCTATATAAGCAGTTTCAATACATTTAAGGTCACTCACTGCGCTAGTTTTTTTTTACTTGTGTTATGATTTTTTTGGTTTTATTTTTTTTTTCAACAGTCACCTCACATTCTTGGCTTCAAACAGTTCCTGTCTTAATCCTTGAAATTAGATGTCTTCCTAAAATCATTCTTCCTCCTAGCATGTGTGAAACTTCTGAGACCAGCACTCAAACTTCTGCCCAAACTGGAAACTTTTCTAAAAACATCTACTCACCAGCTCGGAATGAAATCTCAAAGCGGGAAAGACACCACCTCTTTCAACAGTAGCCCAGCACACTAGGGCCACCTGAATTCGTGAGGAGATTCGCCCCTCTACTGATTCAGAAGTCTGCCCTCCTCCTGTTTTCTAGATCTACCCTCCAAATAAAGACACATCCTTTCCAAAGATGCAAACAGCACCGTGACTCCCAAGCTCTCCTCCTGGCTTCTCAGAATTAGCAGCCAAAAAAAAAATAAAAAAAGAATTAGCAGCCAAGCATTCTTCAGCTAGCCCCTAAGGGACCTGGTTCCTTGAAGACAGTGCTTGGACCAGACACGGGCATCACTTGGAAACTCGTTAGAGATCTCCACTGGCCGATCTGCTGGACCAGAACCTGCATTTTTACCAAGGTCCACACTGATTCGTGTACACAGTAAAGTTCTGGGTAATCCCCACGTCCTCACGGCCTCTTTTAACAAAAAAAAAAAAAAAAAAAATGCCCGGAAGTAACCACCACACAGACTTGTACTTAGAAAACTCATACTTTTACTTTGAGAGTTTATGTTAGCTGTCTAGATACTGGTGGATACATTTTCAAAATGCCAAAACTGTTTTGTTTTTCAGTTATTTTATAGTCTTTTCTAAAATCTCAGCCTCCTGTTGTCTCTCCACATTGGCTTCCCCTCTTTGAGTCTTGGGGCAGTGACTGAACTGGGGCTGTGGACCTCAAGACTCTCAGCTGACCAGGCACAAACGGTGGCCAAACTCCATCAAATGCCCAATTAATT